ATTTACAATCAGCAACAGCAGCCAAATTTCCAAGTATCTGCTTCTGGTCAGCTGCTGCAACAGGCGCCGCTGGTAGGCCAGCCACAGCAGACAGCGCAACCAATGCAGCATGTGCTGCAACCGTTATTTAACCCAGCTGTTGCTGAAGGTGAATTTAGTATGAGAGCTTATTTTCTGTATCTCCGGTAATGCAACTTATCTTTTTATTKTATTGCAGTTGCAGAGGAGCCCGTGTCATTGGCCGCCACTCATCCTCACCTGTTGCCGAGCGATATTCAATCTGTAAGGGAATTCATTTGTTGTCGAATCAGCTTAACTACATAGTTTTTATTCCCTACAGGACATCAAACATAATCTAGACTCATTGGTGAATCAGTTGTGCAATACGCGTTTGGGCACAAATCAACATCAGCGACTGTTGCTGCTGCGGCAACGACAGCTGATTGAGGAAGACGAGCTGCGTCTAAAGCACTATGTGGAATACGAAAAGTTTCAAAAGGCACTGCGCCAATGTAAGCAGTAAATTAACAAAAGGAAAATTCATTCAGRATATATGTTTAAATGTAAACTTTTTCTCTCCAGCTCTAAGCACAAACGCTCCAGCAACTACCGCGTATTATTCACCAGCTGCTGCACCGGTTCAAACCAATTTGACAGCGCCAGCAGCAGCGGCACCGCCAACAGCATCGTCAACTACTACACCCGCAAGCTCTTCACAAACATAAATATGTAAATCCATTTTTTGAGTTGCCGTTGCCGTTCCTCGTATTCATGACAAGTCAAACAAAAAAAATTGCTGCCCAATTGTTCGGCAACTGCTCTAAATTCTGGCTTTCTGGATTTCGATTTTTGAAAAAGATGGATCTAGCCTTAGTTATTAAGTGAAAAGTTGTCGAATTATGAGGGGATTGTCTGTAAATATGTAGTCACACAGTTTTGAGTTGATTTGCCATTGTTTCGCTTATTGTTTTACTTTTGTTTTTGATTTTACCCTAGTTCCCATTCTTTATATATGCAATGCTGTTTCCTCTCATTTGTTTTCTTTTTTTGATCAAAATGAAGTTTTGAATTTTATTTAAGCAAATTGTAAATTTGATTAGCGCTAAAGTGTAAATAAATATTTCAATAATATCATATACACTCATACATCAATATACATAAWTATTATTATTATATATATAAATACTATATATTTTAAACCATTCAGTGATTTATGTTTTGCGTAGTTACTAAATAAATAAACTTTTATTGAACTTAAATTGCGAATTCTGTTCTGCTGTTTATCCAAATGCTTTATTTGTTGAACACGGATAATAAACGTCCTGTCATTGAGGGAACCAAACAATGTCTTCACGATGCCTTATTATTGTCTGGAAATAAAGGGAATGGTCCGAAATCGAAATCCTGTCTTAAAAAACAACAATCTTTCGTCATACACACATGGAAATTATTTATTTGTATATAATAATATAATGCAAACTTAAACAGCTTTTAATAAGACACATTGGTAAACACAATTGAAGGATGGAAACAAATTAATGGAAATCAATAATAACAAAAAAGTTTAAAGGGAATGGCATTCGATACGCATTTTTATGCCTGGACATCCATGGTGTCTTTGATCTCGTTGCCCCATTCACGTGCCATGATCATAATTTCGTTCATCGATAGCTTGGGGCCAATAAGAGGATTCATTTGGGTCAAATAACAGCACAACCAACTGCATAAAAGATAAGAATTATTGGATTATTCATAATGAAAATATACACACACACATGCAAATATATTCACATGTATGTATGTCTAAGAAGTCTCATGGTCAGTGAGTATAAACTTACAAGAGCCAGCAGGTAACGGCAGTTAGCATAATACAGCATTGTGTCACCCTGAAATGAAATATAAATGTATAACATTATTATTTTCGAATTATATATACTTATAATATCCATGTTGTAACTTACCCTCTGTTAGGGCCACGAGCGAAGAAGGGGCATATAATACCAATGAACGCCCAAATGACGGTGATAACAACTGGAGGAACGTAAGCATCAACCATTTTTGTACACTTTTATTAACTTAGTTTTAATACTGCAGGTCTGCCGGGCTCAGCAGGTTTATTAATTGAACGGATAACACAAAATTATTAAAAAGTGATCGCGAAGAAGGCACTTTTTCAATCTTATGAATATCACATGACAGCCATGGGACGAAAACATATGTTACCAGGGCTACCAAAAGTATTTCTAATAAATCTGGTTCATTTTAAAGAYAAAGACCATATCGTCAATGTTCTTCAGATGACAGACAATCAAATCAGAATTCAGTAAAAGTTCACATATTTCAAACTGTTGACTAAGAAATATTTTTAAATTATTTTCTTTTTGGCATTTGGCAATGGGAAATAAACAATAAATTTAATGTACTTTTTGTTATTTAGTAACAAAAATATATGAAATATCATAGGTGTCATAAGTTGTCAAATATCGATAATATTCGATTTATTCAAGAAACCAAACAACTCTGTGCAGTCAACTAGGTATTACAGTTCAGTGGCAAAGTGACAAGCAAAAATACAAAATGGTCCTAGAAAGTACTATGATATGGTAAATAAATGTTTTTAAATAAAKAAATGGTTGCACTGATTTCAATATAACTTCCTTATCATCTAGTTTCGACAACAGTGATTACCAACGCAACGGTGACTACTTCCCCACCCGTTTAAATGTACAGAAAGACGGCATCAATCTCGTCTGTCTAACCAAGCTGAGATCTAACCCCGAGAACAATGTTGGTCTGATGACCCTTTCAAAGTGCGCAGGGAGTTTCCATATATACATATGTCTTTCTCTGAGTATATTAACATTTTCTTTATATCCAGCACCGTTGAAGTGCTGGCTACACTAACCAGCGATGTGGGTCGTATATTCTCGAAGATGCATTTGATCCAGCCGAAGGGTGAAATAAATCTTTTAACTGGAATTCGCATTGCCCATTTGGTATTGAAGCATCGCCAAGGCAAAAATCATAAAATGCGCATCGTTGTTTTTGTTGGATCGCCAATCAACAACGAAGAAGGAGAACTCGTTAAGCAAGCCAAGCGTCTAAAGAAGGAAAAAGTAAACGTGGATATTGTCAGCTTTGGGGATCATGGAAACAATAATGAAATATTGACGGCTTTTATTAATGCTCTCAACGGCAAAGATGGAACTGGCTCCCATTTAGTTAGCGTGCCTAGAGGCTCAGCACTGTCCGATGCCTTATTGTCATCGCCCATCATACAAGGCGAGGATGGCATGGGTGCAGCTGGATTGGGCGGCGCCGTCTTCGAATTTGGTGTCGATCCCAATGAGGATCCAGAACTGGCTCTCGCTTTGCGCGTCTCCATGGAGGAGCAGCGGCAACGTCAAGAAAGTGAGCAGCGACGTGCTGATAGCGCTGGGGGTGCTGAGGCTGCACCTCCCTCGATTGCAACTAGYGGAGAGAGTGGCACAGAGAGAGGCCCAGCCGTAACTCTTCCCAATTCCAACTCAGAGGAAGCCATGTTACAACGTGCATTGGCTTTGTCCACTGAAACACCAGAGGATAATTTGCCTGACTTYGCCAACATGACCGAAGAAGAGCAAATCGCTTTTGCTATGCAAATGTCCATGCAGGATGCAGCTGATGATACCGTGACCCAGCAAGCCAAACGTCCCAAAACAGAGGATGCCGCTGCCCCTATGGATGTTGATGAGGACTATTCAGAAGTGATTGGGGATCCAGCATTCTTGCAGAGCGTTCTTGAAAATCTCCCTGGAGTTGATCCCCAATCAGAGGCAGTGCGTGACGCTGTTGGCTCTCTCAATAAGGAGAAAGACAAGAAGACCGATGGCAAAGATGAGCAAAAGAAATAAACTACAAGTATATATTTTTAAATTTGCATTAAAAAGAAATCATAAGTGAGCTGATATCTCTTAATATATTATGCAGATTATGTTCATGCTTCTAATAAAATAACACACATATATTATCACAGGGAACATCGTTGTTTGTTATAGCCATTTCTACAAACACCATTCTACAGCATACCCTCGCTGGCCAATCAAAACAACATTCGGTTTAGCGCTTTTTGTAGTAGGTTTTATATTATACTTTTTCAATCTACATTTATAAGCAACATTAATAGTATTAAAGCGTGCCTGCTGTGCCGGATTTACTTGCCAGCCTTGTAGTCACGGATGTGGTAGAGCACCCAACCGGGAATGAACAAGGAGGCGACGCACATACCACCACCGAGAATCACTTTCTCCTGTAATTGATTAAAATGTTTGCATATTATATTGATTGTAGGACTCCAAAATACTCTCGAATAGGTTTACGTAACCCATCCAAGAACTTTGAATTACTCACCGCTGTGGAGACGTGATTAGTTGGTGGCCCGGAGACGACGGATTGGCAGCGCCTTTGCATGGCTCCACGAATCGCAGGCACCAAAAGTTTAGCAGCACTATTTTGGAACATTTTTGATGTAAAAATTATCTTTTTCCTTCGAAGACGATGCTGGTAATAAGTGCTCGATAGAGATGATAATACTACATCGATAGCAAGTGTATGGACGAGGTTAGTCAAAATCGATAGCTCCAAGAGTGCCCGTACTCAGCGATAATAAYATGAAAATACTARAAGACTCATTTTATAAATTATACCAAATTTATATGACTTTATTTTTAATTGGTAAAAGTAAAAAAAAATGTTATGTCCTTTTTGAGACGGTTTAGCGGTTTATTAATTTTTAATTAACTCAATATTACAAATCATATTAGAGATACTTAATATACATTTTGTAAAACTGTAACGGTTAAAATAAAGATTATTGAATAGAAAGTGGCACTGCTTAGATATATTTGGATAATAATTGATATTTTCATTCACTATTAATTATAAATGTATACTGTTTGGTTTGTGAACAATTTCTTATATTGATTGTTAATATAGCATTCGAATTCCATTGTAAATATGATTAATCGCATTGTTTTAAACAGATGAGATAATTTCCTAATTGTTCAGATGAGATAGTTTAAGTAATTGATATTTTAAACTCATCCATATAAATAACAGTAGGTTCATATATATTCGTTCTGATGCAACATAATTAGTTGACTTAAATATTCGAATTACTGCAACGATAACCTTTAGTCTTTAAATATAATTAAATATTATTTGATTACATTCTACTCTTTCACATCAATACACATTGGACATAAGTTTGAAGTTGCATTCACTTTATAGTTTATCATTTAGCATTCTCACTTAACAGTTAGTTCAATAGTTAAGGCCAAATACTTTGGAGCCAGTTATTGGTTACATATTTTTTATTAATACACATATGGTTATTCATATCTACATACATCGACTTTTCTTTATAAGGCTAAGCGCTCCAATTTACACTTTATAGTGTCTGCTGAGT